GGTGCGTTTTCATAGTTCACATTCAATAAAATTTTGTCCTCAGCACTTTCCAATATGACGTCTCTCATACCCCATTCTCCATCATTCCGTAAATTATATACACCTTTTCCAAACAAACTGAAGGAAGATAAGCTTTTATACTGTTGGCCTAATACAATGCACCTCTGCAAAATCTCGATCTTATAATTTCTTGGCACAGCTACTGTTGCGCTCTAAAACGATATTGAAAAAATCCTTCATGCTCCAAAAATTTCACTAACAACTTTAAAAGTGGAACGCCGAATAACATTTAAATTGACTTTCTTTAGCTGCAGCCTCATTGCCCGTTTACAGCAATAGATTCAACAGCATTTATGCGGCACCACTAGAACTTTATGGGCCGTAAAAAACGCACAACTGTTTCTGAATGTTTGTAAAAAGATGCTAAAGCTTAGATAATAAGGACCTTTATGCTAAGCAAGCAGTATGCTAAGCAATTCACAGGAACAGTTTAGCTCCTCGCGTCGATCTATAATCACCTTCAATAAATGTTCACCGAGCGCCTCGAGTGATATTACTTTTTCTTCTAAATAAAGCTTAGAACATTCAGCAAAATCACTATGAATCAATGATACTGAAAGCCCGTGAGAGCGACAAACTGAAGTATTTTTGAACAGCAAGGAGATTCAAATGATATTTTCTTTACCTGAAACTCTATTTCGTAACTTGCTCTTCACGAAAAATAAAGTCACACGATTCAAGTAATAACGGGTACCTATGCTGGCTACGGCCACGGTATGTGATGTGAGGAATACTGACGGAGCTAGGCTCGAGGTGTGGAAAATAATCATTGCAAAACTGATGCGAAAGACGGTAGATGACGAGTGCAAAAAGCATCTGACAAAGTGCAAGATGAAGCAGCAAAGAAGCAAATTACAAGAACTAAAATTTCGGCTTAAAATTCTCAATTTTATGTATTGAACTTCGAATGACTTCTATTGAGCCAGGCATACCCACAGTTAACTTTTGAGCTAAAACACTAGGTTTTCGTTCTTCAAAACTGGCTACAGGTACTTCCACAGATGGAACTGAAAAGCAGCAATATGAGAAAAATTTGTATCAATTCCGAACCGATGCCGACAACAAATGTAAACAATATTGCGTTCAAGAAACAAATGGACACTGAAAGAGTAACTGCCCTGCTTTTTGGTACTAGCAGAAGTCAAAAAATTTAAATCCCAGACAAAAATTTGAAAATTTGAGTAAAAGAGTTTAAAAATCAGCCGAAAGGAGGAGGGGAAAGCTGTGCCGGAGAAATTTGAGGTAACCAGCGAGGCATTAAAATGACGAAGAAAAATAAACGGGCTTAGCTGCGAATTTAGCGGTACAAGTTATATAGCTGATTAACAGGGATTCAGAGATGCGGTAAAATTTTTATGCGTTTGCAAGGGGGTGGGGATATTACTGAATGAAACGCGAAGTACTCGCTGGCAGAGATGCTTAAAAATTTCAACGTTTCTACGTTTGCCTTATGTTCTGTCGGTACTTTCAGTGATTTTTTCCAGTTCTTGTTAATAATGGCGCTTGTTTTGAAAACACCACCGTTGTGGTTCGCTGAAGATGGACGAGCACTTCCAAAGTCTTCATGAACATGTCTTCTGGATGGTGTCGTTGTACGATTCAGTGGAGATAATGCAATAATGAAATATGGGATAAGGCATTGGACAAAGTGTCATGTGCAAGAAAACATGTTTGGATGAAGTCTGTTTTTCATACCTTTTGCTGTAAACACAGTCTGAGCACAGTATACGTGTAGGAGTGGGAATCATCAGTACAGCCCTCTAGGCACCATGTATATGATGATGAGCATGTCTCAAATAGTTGTTTATTGTGATAGCATTTATACTGCATTGCATTATTGGGTGAGCACTGTCGGCTGTTGTTGCTATTGTAGCAGCATTTGCTGTCTCAGCTGCTGCATGTTTCTGCAGCATGCTGTAGCTGCAGCAGTTGTTGTATGAGCAATTGCTGTAGCAGCAAGCAGAGTAGGAGTGGCCAGCTCGTTGCGCACATTTAGCGGGTGGCGGTGAGCGAGCCGGTGCGGCACAGTGCCCCACCCTGCCGCGCGCGATCCTGGGTGCCGCCCGTAGCCGTTGTCCACTGTGGTGGTGGTGCATTCCTGTCTCAGCGCTTCTTTTCCTGACTTTCTCCAAGACGGCTGCACCGCTGATGCGACCGGCGTTCGCACTCTCCTGGAATGTGGAGGTTCGCTTCTTTCCGATTATGCCACAATTATCACAGTGGTCAGTTCTTTGTTGTCCGAGCAGCACACAATCATCCCCTCCTAATCTTCCCATTGGCTGTTTTCACAGATATGCTTATAGCATATCATTTTGGTCAGTTACAGTTCCAGTAGGGGAGAGAAGGCGGGGAAAAGCCTTAACAGAATCTATCCGATTGTCCTTGCACGGATCGTATGAAGTACGGGTAGAGCTGAACTGCACCACAGATTCACCATATCAGTATGGTACTGGAATCACAGTACCGTGCAAGTCTCTGTTGCAGTGGCTCGGATCGTTTCCGGTTGCGGGAACGGATGAGGATTCGGTGGCGCGTCGACTCGACAGGTTTGTGCCCAGTCAAGAACCTGTCGCTGTGCAACTGTTCGTTTCCGTGTCCGGTGTTAAAGTTTGTGCCTCCAACGACGAGGTAAAATTACACTTAATTTTACCACAATATTTACTGCAATATTCGAGCAGATTAAAGCAGTTTAAATCCATCACTTTTGCACTACTGCCTTTTTTTCTATAAATATTTTCTTGAAACAAATTCAGCTTAAACACCCTTCCAATATCCTGTACGGGTGCCCGCGAGAAGCAGCATGTGCCATCAGAAACCGGTAGATCATACATATTCAAGACAATTATCAGTCATTAACAACTACGAGTACCACTGTGCCACTGAACCAAGTGAACCGTTAAAGAATTGCTTTTATCGCTAGTAAAATTGAACTTTCGAACTTTATCGTAAAAATAGGCTTTTTGCCACAACGCTACTCTTTGCCAGCAAAAGATTATATGATCTTGTCTCCTTCCCGTCACGATTGCGTGATGATTTGTTTTTTTTTTCAACTCCTTTTTCGTCACAAACTTCGCAAGTTTCATTCCTTTGGCCCATTTCAATCGACTTGCAGTATCAAAATTTTTGCCTTCATTTTGAACTTCATTTTAGTGCGCTTCAATTACATCGATCACATAGTCTGTCCGTGAAATCTTAGCCCTTCATTCTGTCTGCAGATATGTTGAAATAGAGATAACAATGATGATATATATAAAAGAATATAAAATTATATGCAAAAACTGGATGATCAGGAATGTTTCGGCCCGACAATGCATAGACAGTTCTATTTTGAATCTACACGATTTTGAATCTATTCTTTAACTACAAGCAAACTTTTCATTTCTAGTCCTTCACTTTTTCCCTCTATTAGCTGCATAATAAACCCAGGCTGGAACGTACCAGGCGACGGCGTGATCATGCGTTTTTGCACCAAATTTGAACTGATTAGGTTAACTGCATGAATGGTTATTTCCTCACATCTACCTTGTGCACTCAATACCGTAAATGCTCGTAAATTTTGCATAAAAGGAAATAAACAATTTCAGTTTAGC